TAGCACGGTCGCTTTATTGACTTAAACTTGGCTTGAATTAATTTTGGACAAACTCTGATGTGTATTATTTTCATGTTTTACCTATCCTCTTTTATCTCTTGATTATTAGAAAAAATTAAAGAATATTTTTGAATAATAAGATGTCATAACCACACTACGCAAGCGAATGCGTGATCGATGAAATTTATTATTTAGTCATAACGGCGTTACGCAAGCGAATCCGTAGTCATGACAGACGATTGTTAACACGTTATTTACTTTTGAAAATTTGCTGCAATTGTGTTGGAGGAAACATTAACCCTCTTTTTTCTATTGAATAAATTAACTTAAAATTGATGAAACTATTGAATATGACATAAAATTGATGAATTACTTGTTAAAAGTTAAGCGTCACGCTACACAAGTGAGTCCGTAAAGTTAAAGTGCACCTACTATTTGCCTAACGTTTAAATTAATTAAAGGGAAACTAGTTAATTAAAATAGTAGAAAAATTTGATATTATTATTATTTTTTCGAGCTTTATAGTTGGGAAAAATTATGCAAATAAATGTTGGACCAACTTTATCTATTTTAAAAGAAATGAGCCAACTTCTTGTTAAAACAAAATGGGCCAGCTTGTATGGAGCTTTTGGGCTGCTGGAATTTATTATTAAAATGGGCCAAGAAATGAATTTCAATTGGCCCGCTATATAGAAGAAAATGGGTAATTTTGTTGTTTAAAGGTAAATGGGCCAACTTTTATCTTTGTTTCAATAAGGCCCAAAGTTGATACAATTTTAGCTCTTTACTTAGTTTGAGTTCATGACCATTAAATACATAGTCACAATTGTATAAACGCCCACTTTACAAAAATAGCCATTTTCGCAAATCCGGCAAAATGGCCAGTTTCACAAAGATATTATCATAACATTCCTAGAAGCATATGTTGGAAGTGAAATTTTAGCAACTAAAACGAACTCATGCTATGTGTTATACACCTAAAGTCATTCATGGCATACTTAGCATTGTTACTCGGATATAATAGATTGAAAACATTCTTAAAAAATTCATAAATGACTTACATATCACATTTAAAAACTTACAACTCAATATTCAAGTATTATGAAGGACTATATTCACATTATCACATGCTTGATACATAACAATAACATACAAGCTCTTTTGTTATCAAACTATTCATCACATCAAACACATTTAAATGGTGCAGCATGTTCAAGTTGTTCCCATTGCTGAAAATACGTACATTACGAGTCTTAAAGGATTACCTGGTAGCAAAAGAATAAACAGTAGTCAACAACTAAAGCAACATAAAAATAGCAGCAAAACAGCAGCAAAACCAGCAGCAAATCCGTGTTAAAACAACCCGAAAACTTAGAGAGGAAACCCAGAAACGAACTCTAAAGAGGACTTATACTTTTTTTAAAAGTTTGCACTCTAAGATTCACTCCCAAAGCTCACCATTTCAGCTTACTTTTCATGTGTTCAACTGCTGAATTTTTTTGTTTTTGTGACAAAGCAATTATAAAAAATGCCCCCCTGGAAGTGTGATGGAGTCCCCCTTATATATCAAAACAACCAGCTATTTCAAAAAATTAAAAATCAATCTTTTTGACAGATTTTTCTACAAAATCTGCTCTTAAATTCAAAAGGCCAGACTTTTTGGTTCAAATCTTGTCAAGTATTTCAAACAAATTTGCTCTCCACTATTCAAAGACAAACTTTTATTCAAACACTGTCCAAAGATCTACATTTTCTTAACAACAATTTGACCTTTGAGTGTTCTACTCAAAGAGTCTTCAGCAGCAAATAAACAACCCAACAAGTACCATGTACTCTTAAGTATTTTTCACTACCTCACTTTTATCATTACAAAACTATTTTACTGCTTTAACAAGTGCAAAAACAGAAAATTTAACAATTCAAACTTCAAAAACTAATGCTAAAATAATTAATAATAGACAAAATAAAATTTGAAAAATAAAAATAAAAATAAAAAATCAGCCATGAAAAAGAATAGGATTTTACCATTTTACAATTCAAGTGGCTGAAAAAATGGTGGTATGCCAAAAGAGGGTGTTCGGGGAGGTCGCCGGAATTTTGCCGGATTTTCAGGGTGAAATTGGCATCAATAGCTAGGTCTTGAGGAGCTCTATCCATTGATGTAGGTATTGTGGGGTCGTAGTGGTTGGAGCTTCAATAATTTGGGTAAAAAAGTGACGGGAAAGTTTCCTAGATCTAAGATTCAAGGAGTTTGAGGGATTTTTGAAGGATTTGGTTTGGAGATATGGAAAGAGGAAGTTGTGGAG